TCCCTATGCTAGGGGCAGAGAAGAGGGAAGACTAGAGGCCTGGGTTCTGAGCCTCTTCCAACTGCTGGGCAGAGCAGAGCACCACACACTGGGGTTCACTTCGGAGCCCACAGTGCCATGCTAGAAAATGAGACAGCTCAAATGGCTTCTACTCCAGTCTCTCAGGAGGGGTTGAGTGGGCCTGGGGCCATCTGAGTTGTCCCAGGGTCACACCATGGCTGCTACCCTGTTCCTCTCAGGATCCTTGATTCAGTAGCTCGTCTGAGTTCCTTCTAAATCACTGGCCCTGTGTAAATGTCTGTCCTGTTCCCCTCCTCTGTCTGTGCCTGTGGAGGTGTAAAAATCAAAAAAGCAAATCAGATGAGGTCAAAATGATTCCCTGAGAGAACTGAGTCATTAACACTTTTGAGTTTATTGTTAGACTGGGATAGTTTTTTTTTTAATTTTCCCCCAGTACTTGTTGAACCTAGGGCCTGTGCACTGAGCTACATTCTCAGCCTTTTTCTTATTTTCTTGTCCTTAGACACAGGATCTTGCTAAGTCACTCAGTTGCCCCAACTGAGAGTGAACTTGCAATCCTCCTGCCTCAGCCTTCCAGGGCTCTGGGATCAAAGGCATCACCCCCATGCTCTGATAGTTCTTTGCATTTGTTTATCATTGTGGTGCTAGAGATGGAACCTAGGGTCCCTAGTCAAGCACTTTTCAACTGAGTTGTACCCAGCAGGGCCAATTCTTTTTAAAGAGAAAACAATGAGAGAAGACAGTGATATTTTTATCCTTGAATTACCATATAAAAATCCCTGATTTTTTTTTCTCCTCTGCCTCCTAGGTCTCGCTTCATCATTTTTGCTTTGATCCCTTGCAGTGTTTCACGGTGATGAGACATATCTTGGAGTCAGAATGTGAACATGGCCAGGCACTGAGCGAACCACTGCACTGAGCACAGTGAAGGAGGCATCTCTTCGAAGGGTGAACGAAGCAACCCTCTGAAGCTGAAACAACTGTCCTAATAGCTTTGCTCATCTGTGCTCCCGATCATTATTTTGGTGTGCCGTGCCTTTCGTTTCAGCCACAGGGCCTACGGACAGAGGACCAGTTATAACAAGTCTCCTGCCTCCCTCGGGTGCTCTGCACCTGCTCCCCTCTGGAGAGACCAGCTGACAATCAGGGGCTCTCTTGCACCTGGCTGGTTTTTGACAGGGGGAGTCAGCCCCAGGCTAAGGGTGGGAGGGCAGCAGAATGAGGAAATGAGATCGGAGATTTGTCACTGCAGTACCTTTCTGCTGAGTCCCAAGGCCACAGCCCCTACCAGGAGCCCTTTTTGTGTACCTCGGCCTCTCCAGGCTTGTGGTGAATCCTCCCTCTTCACCGCCTCCAGCTCCAGCTCTCTGTTGCTTTACAACAAAATTGCCCATATGTTAGTTAATAATCGACTAAATTCTTCTCAGTCCCTCAGCCTGAACACATCACCTATTTCCTGCTAGAGCGACACTTTCGATTATCCTTGCTTTGAGGCTTCATTACCTCCTGTGTTGCTAGCAGAGTATGTATCTAATTACCAATCCTGTTACTGTGGAGCTTGCCATCAGGGCCAACAGGAACGTGTGCTCTGGGGGAGATTTGATTATACACAGCTGGAGCTGCAAACAAACCTGGTGCTGGTCACAACTGCTATGGTGTGATTCTTCCAGAACTTCTTTCTAAGCCTCAATTCTTCAATCCATAAAAGAAGTATAATGGTAGTTCCTACTTGCTATGATGTTGGTGAGGGTTAAATGGAATAACTCCATGTAAGTTGTTCAACACAGTCTAGAACATGGTAACTGTTCCATTAATGTGGGCAATTTTGTTATGCTAGAAAAAGAGCAGCATGCCCACCCTGCTGATCTCCGGTGAACAATGTGCTGTCAAATCTGATTCAGTGTGGTCACATTTCAGTCGAGCAGAGTCCTAGAAAGCCAAGACCTACATGATGGGGTCCAGGGGTTGGAACTGGAGAGGGCCGGGGCCCTTGGGCCATGCAATCTCTGCCTGAGGTCTTGCTCCATGGTTGTTGGTCTGTCTGGGGCTGCATCAACCACCAGGGAGCCTGAAGCACACACTGCAGGCCCTGCTTCCTGGGCTCCTCCCCTGCTGAGCTTTAGCCTGCACCCAGCACTGGAAAATCCTGTCAGGGACAGGTCCGGCTCTGCCCTGGTTCATAGCCAGAGATGGATGGATCCATCAGCTTCCAAAGAAAACAAAGACTTACAAAATCTCAGGACTGGGAGGCTGACATGGACCCTCTAGCAGGGTTGCAACCCGAGGGCAGAAGTGCAGTGTCCTGTTGCCTGGGATAAAGTCCGGGCCCAGATTTACACAACTCAGTATCATCAGGGATACTTAAACTGCTGGCTGCTGCACGGGGTCAATGTCCTGCTCCAGTGGAGGCACAGTTCCTGTCCCTGCCTGCAGATATCCCCACCCCACCCAGCTCCTATCCAGTTGGGAGAGTCTCTAGGACAGCTTTCCTCCCCTCATTAATTTGCCTGGCCTGTGCATTCATTCATTCACTCACTCAATAAATATTCATCCAACTCTCAGAAGGTGGATTCTACCCATGATTCGGGGGAGTCTTCTAGGACAGAGCCCCTAAGTGGCCATTTGGTGTACCCAGGACTGAGCCTCACTCTTCTAAACATTACCACCCTGCTGTGACCCCATGTTTCTCTTGCACTTCTGTTTGTAGAAATCATCACTCTGCTTACAGGAAGACAGTGTTATAAGTATGGGTAGTTCCACTTTAATGAAGAAAAAACTGAAGGTGGGCTAGGCAGGTTGCCAACACACAGGACATCTGTTCCGGCAGCACAGGTGAGTGACTGCCTGCATGTCTGCTTTGTCAAGAGCACCGTCCTAGAGGGTGAAGGGAAGCTGGGCTGGCTTAACCATCCAGAGTTTACTGGTGTAGGGAGCTGCAGAGCCATGCAGTTCCTACCTCCAGAAGCTGCTGCTCCTGGCTCTTCCCAGAGGGAACAAAGACTTCTGTGTACAGCTGCCGCCACCCAGTGGTGGACCACAGGCAGGCTGGCCTTGTGGCCCTCAGAAAGGAAGCTTGCAAGAAGCAGAACACTGGGTAGAGCAATCTGAAGACAGTCTCAACGACGGACCCTTCCTCCCTCACCCAAGCCGCCCAGACACACTCTTGACAGCTTGGGATATTGTGCAGTCAGCTGTTTCTTCAGCAGCCCCAACAGCACCCTGGCCTACCTTTTCTCTAGCCACTTCCTATAGCAAGAATCCTTTAAAGTTTTTTAAAGACAGAAGCAAACTATGTTCTTAACTCCTCAATATGTGAAAAGTCTAACATGGATGTGCAAATGGCAGAGAAAGCTCTTTCCACTTCTCCAATAAAAAACTTAATCATGTTAGAGCCCTCCTCCTGGTGAGTGGAGCACCTCTCCTGGAGAGGAAGAGTCTTTGGAGGGCTCCATGCTGAGTTCTCACCTTTTAGGCCAGCGCTCACTGGGCAGGGCTTCACAGTGATCAGACCCACAGGCTGGACAGCCCTTCCCAGCTATATCATCCCATGTCGGTGACCCTGAGCATGTTGTCCACCGTTCACAGCTCCAGAGAAGTCCAGTCTCTCCCTTTCCCTTAGCTCATTCGCACTGTCTGGGCTGTCTAGGAGGGGCTGTGGCATTTGCAGGCTGCCTTAGGGATGGTTCTGCACCAGTTCTGTGTGGCCCTGGAAAACCTGCTTGGGTTTGCTGGGCTCCAGTTGGAAACACTAGGAACAGACTCTAAAATTGCTGCTGACTTACACACAGGTACACACACCATACTCAGTTACATACCCTGATCCCCCTGCTACACTATTTAAGAGATACATGATCCCAAGATCACCTTGTATTGAGTTGAAGGCCTGAGTGTCTACATCACTTTTCCTATTAATCGTGGTGCACAGGGTTTCAAACAGCTTTAGCCCTGCTTTTCAAGGCAACTCATTTGAAGTATCCCAGGCAGGAAGACACATTAACAGCAAAGCTGTTGTCTCAGACTCCAGTTAGACCCTGGCAGCACTGCCATATGAACCTGTGGACATTACTTAATCTCCTCACGCCCAACATTCCTAACGATTCTGTGGAGCTTCCGTGCCAATTTGAGTCTGTTGAGTTGCATATGAACCTGTGGACATTACTTAATCTCCTCACGCCCAACATTCCTAACGATTCTGTGGAGCTTCCGTGCCAATTTGAGTCTGTTGAGTTGCTTCACATGAAGGAGAAACCCATGTCTATCTTGCTTAAAGTACTGTTTCTGATCTCTGCTATTAGCTGTGTAAAGAAAAGAAACTCTCAAAATACAAAAATCACCTTAGAAAAACCTATGGAATCCCTCCATACATAAAGCAGCTGGGCACAAGTCATGAATATGAGAGATGATAAGCCTTTCATTCTTAGGGCCAGTCACATAAATAGACTAAATTAGGCTCTTTCTCCTGTATTTACCTTTCAGAAATTATCAACATCACTTTCAGAGATTACAAGAAAAATACTAGGCAGCACCAGTATAAGCAATCCCAATAGCAACACCCAGATACCTGTAACACATGTGTACATTACTCTAGGACCTTACACTAATATTTCAGGATTTTTTTCATACTTGTTGAATTAGTTGTCAGCAGGGACATCCTGACATCTAGAATAGTATACTCAACAGTAACTGAGAAAACTTCAAATCATTCACACCATCTTCCCAGGGCTTTTAATCAAGCCAAGTGAGATTCCTTCAGATAGTGTTACTGAAACAGAATTGCATTTGCTTTGCTTTTCTCTTGAATTGATGCAACTCTAACATTTGTCTAAAATTGAGAAAAATCACTTGTGGCTACACGGTTTCACCAAGCTGTAGGTGAGTGGAGCTCTGAGAAGAATGGCAGGTACAGAATTCTGGAATTCAGTTTCTCAAGGAATGTTACCTTGTTGCTAAGCTGTGTCATGTATCCTACCAACAGGAGCCACAGAGGCTCCTTAGAGTGAGAGTGGGAGGCAGCTGTATTCTTCTGGAGTCTTTGGACATTGGGCTATTTCTCCCAGTCAAAACTCCCAGGTTAGTACAAAGGTAAAGCAAGTGAGGAAATCTCAGTCCAGACCCTTATAGTGCTGGGAGGGTAGCAGTTCCTGTCACCCAGATCATTTCCTCTTAAAACCATCACAGGTACAGTTTAAATTCAACATTAAATATTTTTCTATAGTTTAAGGTATGATTTACTTAAGGACCTTTAAATCGATCTTCTTTTTAAGACATTTCAAGTGAGGGGGCTGGGAATATAGCTCAGCGGCACAGCGCCTGCGCTGCAAGCGCAAGGTCGTGAGTTTGATTCCCGGTACCAGAAAAAAAAAGGAAGAAGGAAAAAACAAGACATTTCAAGCGAAATGGAAGTCTAGATGAGAGCTGCTGCTCTCTCGCACTGTCGCTCTGTCATCTGCAGGAAGGGCCTTCCTCAGCCCGAGTCCGGGCTTCCCCTCCTCACAGCTGCACGCAGTTGCTCCGTGGGTTTTCAGTCATGTTTTATTCTGTGATTAAAATCATATATTTTCCCTCTAACAACAGAACTTTACCAGTTTCTCAGAAATATTTTATTAAATATCATCCAACAAAAAACACAAATTAAACCTGTTTTAAGGAAATAGGGCATTACAAAGCTTTCATTTGATTACTGCATATTTGAAAATTTAAGTTTAAGCCAGAGTTTTAAAAGAACACTGTCTTCAGCCATTTGAGCTGTTGTAGCAAAGCTTTATAAATCTGAGGAGGGTACAAGCAAGAGGAGTTTATTTCTCCCGGTTCTGGAGACACAGAAGTCCAAGGTGGCATCACAGGTCAGGGCCTGGTGAGGGCTTGGGCAGTGCTCCTGGAGGCACCTCTCCCTGCATCCTCATGGAGTACACAGAGAGGGCAGCTCTTGGAGCCCCTTTCCAGGCACTCACTCCATTCTTGGAGGCCCACCCACCCTAGTGCCCCCAGGAACTCCCATAAGCCTCTCAATCACACTTGTGATTAGAATTCAGCATATGACTGGGGGTCACACATTCAGATCACAGCACATAGAATATCTATTTATAGAACTTTAGTGATATATGTGGATACAATATTTGTTTATTGCCTTCATCCCTGTTATGGTTGATAAATTGTGTCAACTTGGGGAGTCTAGAGGTTTGGCTAAGTGACTCAGCAGGAAGCCAGGGTGCTTTGTATACATCTGGAGCCTGTGGAAGAGGAGGGCATGGAGATTATGTGAGAGCTACACGCCCCTTAGGTGGGGGTAACCTGTTTACAATGTAAGGCAGGGAAAGAAGCTGCTTGCCGCCATTCCTCCCCTTTTGCTCTGGCTGTTTGCTGTTCGACTGCCATTCCCCCCTTTGCTCTTGTTGCTTTGCTATCTTCTGCCTCAGAGCCAGCCAAGTATGGACTGAAACCTCCACAAACTGTAAGCTAAATAAACCTTTCCTTCCTTCATTTTGGGTGTTGGGTATTTTGTCCCAGCAACGAGAGAAAAGTAACCAAGACAATCCCTTAAACATTATTGAAAAAATTAAAAGCCACACATCATATTAAATGTCTTGTAAACCAAAGCATCTTTTCAAAGTTTAAGTAAAAGGTAAGTTCAGAATTCCAGGGGAACTGCCATTTTCACAGGGGAGAGAGTCTGTTCTTTGTTTTGTTGGTGACCTGTTACACCAAAATCTAGTGTCTCCCTACCACTCAAACATACCTGGGAGAAGTGGCATGCATCAACATACATGGGAGAGAAACTGAATATGCCAGCTGACATGCAAGTCCATGCCATCAGGTTACAGATGAACAAACTAAAACCTGGAAAATAAATCACTTAATTTGCAGTCATTTTTCTGGTGAAGGGCAAAGCTGGGACTATAAATACCATATTTTTATAGAAAAAAAAAGCTTTAATTAGAAAGTAAAAGAAAATAGTAAGAGACATGAGCTTGAGGAGCTGACAAAGATCAGGTTGGCCCTTGAGAAAGGAGTGTGAAAAAGCAGACGCAGACTGCAGCCTGCGCATGTGCAGGGGCCTACATTCCGCCCCCACCCCACCCACAAGGGTCTTTGGCCCCTTCTTCCCAGCACAGATTGAAAATGAGCTCTCTGACTCGACTGCAGGAAAGGCCCCACAGAGGGTGCGCACACCTCAGGTCTGACACTCAGGGTTAGGGTTAACCCCTCACTGTGGTGCTCATAAAAGCAGTAAGAAAATGTTTTAATGTTAGATAATAGTACTTTCTGAATTTTACATTTATCCAACTATATCAAACAAATTCTTCAAAGTCAGCTATTGTATAGCAACAAGGCTAGTAATTTATAAGCCATACATTCTAAAAATATACCCTGAAAAACAAATTGTTGTGGTATGAAACGATAGTTAATAAAGTAAAAAATATTTGCCAAACACAATCCAGAGTTCAGTTTCTAGAGCATGGACATGTAACACAGCAAACCGTACTGAGTCAAAAGAATTCTCTGCCATGGCTAGAAATAAAAGGCATATTCCCAATTCTAATATGATGAATGAGCCTTCCAGGTGAGAAAAGAAATATCCAGTGGGCACCAGAAAAACAATCTTCTTAGATCTTGAAAGTAGTATCGTATCATTAAGAAAGCTTATATAATTCTTTCTTATGTTTTTAATCCAGTTCTTTTCCACATGACTGTGAGTTCACAAAGAGTCATAACATTACCTTTAATCCCCTCAACCTATCTCACTGTAGTGTCTAAAAAATATTTGTTGAGTGATTGAAAGAACATTAAATATTACCAAACATCACAAACAACAAGACCAGTGTTCTTCATTTTGTTAACTATGGATGCAATATCATCTTTGGGAAATGTTTCTTTCTTTAGATTTTACCATCCTTTTAGAAGGTGATAAAAATCTAAGATGATAGTTTTCTTAGAGTACAATATGAAAGATCCCTGTAGGAAGTTAAGTTGGGCTGGGTATGGTGGTGCACACAAGTAATTCCAAGCACTCTGGGAAGCTGAGGCAGCAGGATCATAAGCTCAAGTCCAACCTGGGCAACTAAGAAAGTTAGCTACGAACTGTCTCAAAATAAATCAAAGGAAAATAGGAAGGGAGGGAGGAATGGAGGGTGAGCGGGAGAGAGACAGAGAGAGAGAGAAGAAGGAAGGAAGGGAGGAGAGAAGAAAAAGTTAATTTAATGGAAACATTATTTTTGGGTATCACATTTTAAAGTCATCATTGAAATTTGCCATATTAAAAGTGATAACAATATAATGTATTTCTGTTGATGAACCAGTAAACTGACATTACACAAAGGTAAAAATAATATACTTCATGCTTTTTCACAAATATTTTTATTTTTCCTGGAGAAAATGTTTTATGTTCCACTCCAGGTTGTATTTTTTTTCAATGTTTACAAAAATTTGGTTTCAAACCAAAATAGCTTGATGTAAGAAACAATTCAGTGAGACAACAATGGAGAAATGCTGGTGTGTAGGGTGTTCCAGGGCTCTCATCAGAATGACTGGCCCTCTGATTTCAGAGCCTGTGTGCATCAGGAAGTGAGGTCAAGCACGCTGGACCCCAAGAGTGCTCTGAATGCATCAGGGAGAGGGAGACCATCACACCATGGCCATGAACCCCGGGTCCCCGATGTCTACTCAGCTGAAGAACAGAGGCAACACAGCTACCCCTGGAAGCGGGAGATGCTTTCTCGTCAGGCACACGCCTCATCCCAGGAGAGTCTGCCACATTAAAGGTAGAGAACTCGGGTCCTAGGACCACACTGTCTCCCACGCTTGGGCCTCTTGGTGATTTGGGTTCACAATGTTCAGCCACTGGCAAGGCGTGGACACTGGCGATCGGGATCAGAGGACAGAACGGGAGCTAAAGCAGAAGTCTGCTGGGGCTTCCTTTTTGGACATTGGCCTGTGGGTGCTGGATGGCTGAGACAGAGGGCTGAAGAGGGGTTCAAGTTGCCAGGAAAAGGGAGAGCTTGGGACAGCACTGCGCAGATGTTTTGACAGTATTCTAATCCCGTAACTACCCGCACAGCCACGCCCGTACCTACATCCTAGCTGTGAGCCATGGGGAAATATACACTTCACCCCTTCTCCTCTCTTCCTCCCCTTTCTCTCTCCTTCCCTCCTCTCTCTCTTGCTCCCTTTCTTTTCCTTCTTTCCTACCTCTCTCCTTCCTTTTGCTTTAACTTCATGCAATAGACTTCTTAGAAATTAAACAATGAGAGTGTCTTCTCTCAAATCATCTTGAAGAACAAAAATGTGTACACTTTTTACACATACTTTAGGTTCTAGACAAAAAAGAGATGTTTTGAGAGTAGCTTTCTCAAGGTCATGCAGTGTGAGGGAAACAGGCAGATCTCTTGGGACTTACAGTGGAGCCAGTAGTTCACCCAGGATGGGGGGCACGTGCCCACCCCCACTGTGGGCTCACTCAGCAGACCCTCAGCATGCCCTTTGCATTGCCTCCTAAGAGCCACTGCTATCGTGATCCCCGCAGATGGAAACATCAGCTTACCACTGCTGGACAAAATACCCAACATACATGGCTCACAGGAAGAAATGTCGGTTTGGGGTCACAGTTTCAGAGCTTTCCATTCGTGGTCACCTGACTCTGGGGCTGAAGAGGAAGGCTGCTTGCCTTATGGCAACCAGGAAGCAGGGCAGAAGGGAGCAGAGAGGAAGGGGCCAAGGACAGACAGGCTCCAAGGTCACACCAGTGACCCACCAGACACACCCACAGGTGTGCTTTACTCACCCCCAATCAGGTCTCAGGCTGACACTCAAGATTAACCATTGCCATCACATTCCTGAGGTGACAGAAAGCAGGACACTGAAACCTACTGTGCTGATAAAAATGAGCCATCTTTTGTGGGCAAAGGGCAGGACCTGGAAACAGAGGCTACGATTAGGAAGACCGAAATGCACACTTGAGGTTCAGCATCCTCGCTGTCCAGTGAGACTGAGTGAGGGCAGACTGTGAAGCTGGAGAGTCTATAGGGAACAAGGACAGGGTCTTGGTGATGAAGACAAGGAGAATCTGTTGGTCCCTTCCCTACGTGTTGCTATCAGAACTAGAAAACTGAGGGGCAGACAGTAGGTCATTTCCCTCAGCAGATATTTACTTGATCTCTAACAAACATCACACCTGTTCTAGCTGGGGGAGGGGTCCATGCTCCTAGAGCTCATACTTGAGCCGATGAAATCCATGCTCCAGAATTACTGGGCATCGGGTGGAAATCTGGGTCTAGTTCTCAAGAGGAAGTCGGGAGGAGAGATGTACATTTGAAAGTCATCAACACAGAAGTGACACTTAAAGGCGTGACCAGTGATCATTGATTTATTCTTTCAGCTGTCTAGCTATCCATTACTTATTCAACATGCTATCCAGGGTGAAAGTATTGGCAAAAGCTTGGCCTCAGGAGCTAGATTGCCTGGCTGGTCAAGCTACTCAGTAAGATGACAGTAATGATAATACCTTTGTTTGTAGTTAAGGACATGAACAAGGGACACAGAGGAACAGTCAGTGTAAGACAGCAAAGGGCAGAGGAAACCAAGAAGATGGACACGCATGGTATGGGCATATGAGCAGGAAGGAGGGAGAACTGGGACTGGCAGAGAAAAGTCAACAAGAGGACAGATTCTGAAAGGCTCTGTGTACCCCACTAAGGAACCAGGAAATGTTTTCCTTGGGGGAACCTGCCCTGAACCCCCCACGCTGCAGGGGACACAGAACATAGTGTCCATGTTAGCAGAGCAAGAGTGAGACTAAGGGGGCTGGGAATTTAGCTCAGTGGCACAGTGCTTGCCTGGCAAGCACGACGTTGTGAGTTCGATTCCTGGTACTGGAGGGAAAAAAAAAAAAAGAGTGGGACTAAGTTGTTTTCCCACAGAGGCTTGGGCAAAGCCTCGGGTAGACACTGAGGAGAAAGCTGGTGCAGAACCATATTGAAAGAACTCAGCTCAAGACAGCCGACTGCTATAACAGGACTGCTCCAGCCCACAGAGCCTGCGTGCGGGTCCTCTCAGGGAAAGACACATTAGTAGTTATCTGGTGGGGACATCATCCATGTCAATGAAAAAGGTCAGAGAGCCCAGCCATGTATCTCCCACCATCCTCCAAAAGTACCCTAGAAGAGGAAGAAGCAGCATCTCTTCTCTGCTAAATCCCCAGCCCCGTCTTAGTCCCACTTGTTTCCTAAACAATCTTCCCATACATGCTTTTCTTTAATCAATTGAAGGAGGTTGTAGAGAAAATGTGTTTTTCTACTGACTTGTCTGTATGTTAAAGTTTTCTGTGCTTTATTTGATAAGCAACTTTTCACTACATGCCTACGCCAATCACTAAGTTAAGTGTTTAAAGGATAATTACAAGATGTGATGCCATCTTCATGAATTTTGTTTTATTTCTTCGGAGAAACAATAACTATCAGTAAACTTCTAGGTATCTGACTAAATAAAAGCCTTACATTCGATTGTGTCAATCATCCATCCATTCAACAAACTAAAGAGCATTACTTTGTGTCGGGCACTTTCGAGGCACCAGGAATGGGAAGCAAACAAAATGAGTTTGCGCTCTTCAGAAGACCTTATTATACAGAGGCTTTCTGACTGCTCTAAAATATCTCAGTTTGAAACACATCACGAGGACATGGATTGAGAGGCTGATCTGGGATAAAGCTTTGACTCCCAGACCAAGAGCAAAGATTTGGACCTAGTTCTCAAGTCTGACAAGACTGCGGAACACTAAAAGGAAGCATGCCTTGCAAACAAAACAGGCTACACGCTGAAAGAATGTCCACCTACCACTGGATCATACAATCTGAAGTCCAGTATTTTGTGTACATTTAACAGTATTTTATTGGGAAAGTGATGATCGTTGAAAGAAAACCTGCTTAAGACCTTATCTGGTTATTTGATCTTGTTTTTAATCATTATTCACCTAGGCTTGAATAACATTCCAATCTGCACTGTGAAGGATGATGAGATTGCACTCAGAACGTTGCAGGAAGGTGGCCAGCTCAGCCACCTGGAGAAGAATGATATCCCACCTGCCAGAGGCAGCTGCCTGCCCAGCCCTGCAGCCCCAGGGAGCCTTGTCCAAGGAGTGTCTCCAGCCCCAAACAGTGTCAAGATGCCCACGCGACCACATTCTGGTGAGTCTGTCTCAAATGATGGAATGTTTTCTTAGGCTCCTGCAAATAACTGGAGGGTAGAATCTATAAAATTACTAAAATACACGTAGTAATTTTTAAATAGTCAGATTTTCTCACTATGAAGTTCATTATAAAATGTTTCACTATAAAAATATTTCATTATAAAACGTTTATTTGTCTAATCTTACTTAAATAGTACAGTAATGCTAATAGATACTGTTACTGCTCTTACTATGTCCAAGGCGTATGTGGTGTGGTTGTAGTTCTTGATTCCTACAGAAGTAGCTGCGAGATATGCCACATATGAATGCAACACCCACAGGGAAACTATGTCAGTCCAAAAGCTAGTCCAGGAGACAGAACAGAACAGAATTTCACGTTTTCAGCTTCCCAGTGGGGTCCTCATCTCCTTGGTTTCTCCCTAGGTCCCCATTATTAATGCTGACTGAAGTTGATAAATTTTATCAAAAGTAAAATGTAGCAACACACAAAGGAAAATGTAAAATAGAAGAAAGGAATTCTGCATGACAAAAAAGTGGTTGTCTTTCTCCACTCATATATAATTACACACTGTTACTAAAATTCTCAGGACATTTGAATTGTTTGCGAATGTAAGCTATGAGTCTGCCTCACGATAACAAGAGTGATCACTGGTGGAATACTCACCATGTGACATGCTCTTCCAAGGTCTTCACGCTTGTTAACTCGTCTCACCCTTTCACAAGTTTCTCCTTCTTCCCTAACTCTGGAAACAATGAAGCCCTCCTGTTTCATCTTTCTGGTGTCCCTTCTTATCCCATAGGACCTAGAAACTGAAAAATTACATTTTGGAGACAGACTCCCTTCCTGGGAACTGTTTATCACCACCCAGTGAGACACATGGCACTTATGGGCCTGCACTCACCTTTTTGGTTCTTTTCTGTTATAAAAAACACTACATTTTCCTTCTACAGCATCCCCATGTACAGATTCTTTATTTCGGGGTGTCAGCAGGCAATGTCTGCAGATACCATGGCTTTCTGATTGCAGCACCGTTCCGGTGCCTACCCTGAGCCTCATGGATGCGCCTGTGGCCTCCCAGCCCCCTTCCTCTGACTGGAGTGAAGACTGTGCCCCCAGTGGTGGGTCACACCCAAGGTGTGGTTCTTAGTGTGATCTGCGAGATCAAGACCAGTCTTTCCAGCACTGTGCCAATCTCTTAATCCTCTCTGTTATTTATGTGCTTGCTGAAATAAAGTAGGTTCTATTTCCACAAGTGAATACTGACCTTATATACTTACCACCCATAACTATGGTTTCATTACTTGGAGAGAAGTAACTTTAACTTTATTTCCTATATTTTTTCAGGTAGAACTAATGGATTTAGTTACTATTAAGGATATGCTCAAAATCTATTTATCTTATAAAAAATTGTGTCAACTGTGGCTTTGGGAAAAAGATAGCATCATTATATAGCATATACCTTTAAATTAATGTAAAGGAGGCCAGGTGTGGTGGTGAATGCATGCCTACAATTTCAGCAGTTGAGAAGCTGGGCAGGAGGACTGCTGCAAGTTCAAAGCCAGCCTAGGCTACATTGTGAGTTCAAGGCCAGCCTGAACTACATACAAGACTGTATCTCAACCACTCCCCTCCCCCAAAAAGATTAATGTAAAGGAAAATTAAACAAATCTTCGATTTATTCTAGGATAATTTAAAGGGATCTAGTTAGATGAACAAGTAAAGGGAGGGTTAAGAGGCTAATGAAATAAGAAAGAAAATAAAGGTTATAATTATAACAGCACAAAACTCTGTCTTCAGGGCAAAGAACACGTGTCAGTTCTCTTCTAAATAAAGAAAATGACAGGGATGAGGACATAAAAGAGAGACAAACAATGTTTTCAGTCACATGTGTGTGCATAAATTAGTTTTACTAGATCAAGAAAGCACTTGCAGTATACCCTTATATTATCACTTTGGGAATATAATTTTTTAAATAAATGTGTTTTTATTACGTGATTGTAATGGAATTCCATCTTCAAGATTACTAATATTTATAAACACATCCCTGAGTTGACTTTAATTTAAATTCAGATATACTCCTATGTATTTCAGCAACTGACACACATATCATGTGGTAGAAACTCTTTTTCAAGAAGTAGGAGAAATATATATATATAAGATAGCTGGGATAATTGTACTACTGATTTCTATCGGTTTGAAAGGAACAGTTGATGTTTAATTGTTTTATCACTCTTATCATGCCTATGTCTGGTGATTTAAGCAAATACTTTGAAGATAACAATATGTAATATAACAACTATTGTTAATTTCCTTATCACCTTGTTTTGAAATTCTGTATCATTTTAATTGTTTGTTGTTTTGCTTTTGACTTTGTTTAGGAGGGTTGTTTTGGGTTTTTTCTCTTTAAAATAAAAATTTTTTAAAAATTCTATATATTAAAAAAAAAGAAATTCTTTTTCAGCTCAATTTAAATGTTTCCACAATTTCATTTCAGAGCCCAGTAGAAAAGTCAATGAGTTCTTCAAAACTTCCAGTGACAATCCCTTTGTAATCAAAAAGGTAAATAAATGTCTATTTGCACCCACTTAGTTTGACTTCTATCATTTCCTTTCTCGTTGCATAACTTCTTAAAAAGTCACCATGTTTCACAGTATTTTTATAGCCTTACCAAGCTATAATTAACAGTATATAAAATGCAAACACTCAAAATGAACAATTTGATGAGTTTTGACAAATATATGTTTTCATCTGGAAAGCAACCATCAAAATCAAGAAAATGCACACATTTATCAGTCCTAGAAGTTTCCTTGCAACTCTGCTTCTGCTAGGGGCAAACATTTATCTGCTTTATGTAATTAAAGATTAGCATGGATTTTTTTAAAATGTTTCTACAATAAAACCACATGGTGAGTTCTCTGTTAAAACCTGGTTCCTCTGACTCAGGATGGTTATTTTATGGTAGTTTATGAGCACACTATTGATGTATGTCCATCTTGTGTGCCTCTATATTCCTTTTTATTCTGAGAAGTGTTCAGTTGTATGGTTATCCCACAGTTTGTTTATTCATTCACCTACTTATTGTTTCCAATTTTTCATGAAGCTTATATGAACATCTACATACAAGTCTTTGTCTGGATGTATATTTTCTTTTTTTTTCTCTTGGGTAAACCACAAGAGTGGAATGAGTGAGTCTTACAGTGGTTTTATGTTCAGACTTTAAAGGTCTGCTCAAATGGTGTTCCAAACTGATTGTACCATTTTACATTCCCACTGGCAGTATATATGAGTTTCTTTCCTTCACATCCTCCCAAAACTTACTATGGTCAGTCTTTTTTTTTACTTGAGCCAGTGTAGTGAGTATGTACAGGTATTTTATTGTGTTTTCTATTTTTGTATCCCTGTTGAGTAATGAAGCCCACATCTTTTCACATTCTTGCCATCCATATGCCCTTTTATGGAAAACATACGTTCAAATCCTTTGCCCATTTTTGAAATTGAGTTTTTGGCCTTTTTGTTATAATGTTATAAAAGTTCTTTATACACTCTAGATGCAAATCTTTTGCCAATCACACATATATGCAAATTTGCAAATGTTTGTTTGTTTTGCTTTCTTTCTGGTATCAGCATCTATTAAAAAATATGTTTGATAAGGCCCAAATTTATAAGTTTTTCTATTACATGTTCAAATCTGCATGCTGTTTACCTCTTTCATGCCTTATTGTGATGTTTAAACCTCTATTGATTAGAAGTGCTGCAAGCAGACATTCTTGCCTTGGACATGATCATAGGGGAAAAGACTCAGGCTTTCAGCATTATACACCCTGTTGGTTTACTTTATCCATGGATGGTGGAGAAAGTTCCTGTTTCTAGAGTTGTATCACAAATGGGAAATGAATTTTGCCAAATATTTTCCTGTATCTGAGATGATCATATTACTTTCTTCTTTGCTAATATAGTAAGACATACTTGACTTGGTTGACTTGCAAATGCTAATCAACCTTTCATTCCTAGTAAAAACTCTATCTGGTGATGGTTATCTCTTTAAATTCAGTTTTACAAGACACTCTCTAACATTCTTGTGCCCATTTTCCTGAGGAAAATTTGTATATCTCTTATAGTGTCTCTTCTGATTTTGGTTCCAGCCTTGTACAAGCATGATAGAATAGTGAGAATTCTTCTTTAATATTCTGAAAAATTCTATGTAGAACTGATATTATCTTTTAAAGTTTGGTAGCTTCTTCAGTGAAGCCATCTAGGCCTGGAGTTTTCCTTGGGCCAAAATTTTTAGCCATAAATTCAATTTCTTTTGTTCATAGATAAAGACTTTTCAGGGCATCTATTTATTCTTTGGTGAGCTTCAGTAGTTTGTATTTTCAAAGAATATGCCCATTTCATCTAAGTTGTTGAATTGACTGATATACAATTATTCATGAAATATCCTTTTTCACAATTTCAACCCATACAAATGTTTGCTCTTTCATTCTTGATATGATGAGTTGTGTCTTTTGTTCTTTGATGTGTCTTGCTAAAACTTTGCAAGCTTTATTGACCTTGATGAATCAATGTACCATCTCATCAGTTATCTCTATTGTTTGTTTTTCTGTTTATATTTTATTGATTTTGGCTTTTATCTGTATAATATATTGTAAAACTTAGGTCACTGATTTGAGATGTTTTTCCTAACAAAAAAATGAGTTATTGTAACTTTCTTGTAAAATTTTCCTACTTTACCTGCATCATCAAAATTCTAATGTTTTAATTTTTACTCTGTTCATATTACTTCCTAATTTCATTTTAATTTCTTCTTTAACCTGTGGGTTACTTAAAATTATGTTATTAAATTACCAAATGTTTGGGAAATTTATGTTATTGATTTGCAATTTAATCCCATTTGGAAAGAAAAGATACTGTAAACTCTGAATTTTTTAATTAATTGAGGATTGTTAAATAAACCAGAGTATGTTCAACCTTAATAAATTTCCATGTGCTCATGTATAAAACTCTCACTTCTCATTCTGTTGGGTAGAATGTGAACTAAGTTGATACTATTGCTCAAATCTCCTACAGTCTTACTGATTTGCTGTCCACTTTTTCTACCCATTATTGCTAGAGAGATGTCAACATTTCTACCTATAATTGTAGGTTCCTGTATTTCTCTTATCATTTCTCTGACTTTTTATGCATGTATTTGGAAGCCTCTTGTTTTAGGTTTTTTTATGTCTTTTAATGAAATGACCTTCATTATTATGAACCTAACTGTTCGTTCCTGATAATATTCTTTGTTTTGAAATCTGTGTTATTGAATTCTTCAGTTTGTTCTTGTCTTTGTGAATCAATTTTGGTAATATATTCTTTTTCTAAAAATTGTTTATTTTACTTTAGCTTTACTGACAAAGTCATAAATAATGTCTTTATGTTCCTTTAAAATTACCTTCAGGATCTTTAAAAAGTACCCTTTTATATAATGGTTTTGTTAATGTGTCTTGGTTTTTCTTGGTTGTTTTTAACAGAAATTTATCAAGTTAGTAGTATATCAAAAACTAATTTTGTGATTTTTTTTCTCTTATTGTATTTCTTATTTAGTTTATTTCTGTTCCAGTTTTCTCCATACCTTTTTTTCTTCTCTTACTTTTCTAATGTGAGTGCTTTAAAGCTATGAATTGCTTTAGCAGTTTACACAGTTTTTGCTATGCAACATTTTCATTAGCATTAAGTCCAAAATATCTGCCAATTCTCATCAGGTATGAAACATTATTTGCAGCCATCTGAAGCCCATGCTGAATGGGCTTTCTTCCGGAGAAAATCTGCTGACTTCTGTAGGAACCCAGAGGCCCCATCATCTTCGGCCAATTTCAAACAAGTTCGCATCTTGCTCTCATGCCACGTCTCTCAAACACTGCTGTACTTCCATGTCCTCTTCGTCTTGGTGCGGTAGCCCTAGTGGCCCTTGATTTGGGCTTAAGCTTTGAAACCTGTTTTTCAGGTCTCTTAAGGCTATTAAAAAGAAAATGTTCATTTTTCATGATCACACAACGATGTCACGGCAAAAATAGTTACTGTACTTGAAATACTTCCAGGTTCTTACTTCCCTTTCAGTCCCAACCTATCTATCCCCATTTTATTCACTGATTTATTTACTGAGGTAGTGCTGAGTGCACAACCAACTGCATTGTTCATGCCAAGCAAGTACTCTCTCACTAAGCTAAACCTCCGCCATATTTTTCTTAATTCAGCCTTTTAAATTATATTCAACAGGGGATTTAACCAAAAATATATATTATTATTTCTCCATAAGTATATACAATAAACTTTTAAAAAAGAAAGCCTCTAAATATAACTTTATTTTCACTAAACGCCAATAGTGAAGCATTGTTCTATCAACTCCAATCATCACAATCCCAGGCTGGTAACTCATTTGGTCACTACTTCTGTGCGGCTTTATAAATCAGTCATGTCCGGAAGTTGTTAAAAACCCTTTCCTCGAACAAACACACAGATCTAAAGTTTCTGCAACTCTTCCAGACTTCAAGCTCTGACATATATTTTTAAACAGTGTATTACATTTTAAATAGTATCTTTTTCAACAGTATATTTAAACAGTATATTTACCTAGCAGTATATAGAAACGGTATATTTACCAGAATGTGAAAGTAGTCTTTCTGTTTCCTCTTCCAGCTAATCGAGGAAAGAAATTTGTCTCTCTGCCTCTCAGCTGCCATTTAGCAGAGTACAGAGGTAGCAGTTCATAAGATGTGATTACTTTCCAATGTCATAAAACCTCTCAGCTATCTTTTCTTGGCTATAAAAGAAGATTCTTCCTAAATAAACAGCAAATCTCAGCCATCAGGAGTTGGTTACCTCTGAAATTGCAATACAAATAAAAATTCCACATTAAATATTTAAAAATTACTAGGCTGAATATATAGCTCACTGATTGATATAGTTCTTGCTCAGCATGCACAAGGCCTTGAGTTCAATCCCAAATATCAAAAAAAGACTTCTCATGGTGTTTAATCAAGGGTTTTAAGTGAGTTCACCAAAAATTAATAACAATGCATCACTGTTTTATTTCCAAATATATATGTTTGATAGAGTTAAAGGAGCATTAAAACTAACTTCACTTGCTTTCATGGATCTTGCTTACTAACTACAATGTTTCTCACTATTTTGTTAAATTTGAATAGAAAATATAAGTGGAAACAAATGCATATTAATTATATAATACCTTTGATTTAGGAAGAATTTAAGGCCAAGAATCTGCCATTACCTTCAAAGGCAAGCTCTACGGCTGTCTCCTGCTCTTCAGAGGGAAGCCTACCCAGGTCTGATGTCAAAGAGAAGACCGTGTGCATACCAAACTACCTGGAACAGGAAATAAAAGTAAGAGTCAAGTTTATTAAATCTTTAACTTGGAGAAGTATGAACATGAAAACGAACAAAATAAACAAACAAAAAAATAAACCATAATAAACAAAACAAAAAGCCCCATAGCATTAATTCATAAAAACTCATGGGTGGTTCCTCATTGGTAAGTGAATTTATTTAAAACTCCTTACTCTCAAATCCAAGGCCTGCTCCTATTTTCATTTTTAGTTTTATTTTTCCCTGGAATCCTGTCACTCTTATATACACAAACTTTGGCTTAGAAGAGATGTGATTAGAAGGTTGGCATTTGCCAAACTTGCCCGTTCTCCCCTTCCTATTCTTGTTCATCTTCCTAATACATGAGAGGTACTGACTAACTTCTTTCCGCTTCCTATTTATTCACGCACAAAGACAGATATTCTTCCAATCAACACTCATCTCTCCTTCTTATCTTTAGAAAACTATTTCCTCCAACATTCTCACTTGAAGATTAAAAACTTAGCTATTTAATAGTTTTATGTCATATCAGCCTCTTGGAAGGTTCTCCTTGGCCACAGTTATTCCTGAGAATAACAATGAGGATTCAATCAACAGATATTTGTTATCTGCTACTTTTTCTCCTTTTTGAATCTCTTTGATAAATGCCATATTGCCTCACCATAAGATCCACTACCCCACTATCATAAACAAAGGAACAAATATTATAATGATGACTCTAATGGTATTTTAAGTAACTAGTATCTGTAGTATCAATCACACATAACAAATGCATATTGTAAGGATGGCTATTAAATAATCCTGAGAAGGAACTATTTTAAAAGTAAAGCATAACAATGGTGTTAGTATAATAATTTATGCAGATGATTAAAACTATAGAAAGAATGAAGGAAAAACTGCACAAGAGATAGATTTCTGCAGATTTGACTTATGGTCTGGCTTAAAATTTTGCAATAAATGAGTCTTCAGAATCACTATGGAAGAGGTTGGGGATATGCTCAGTGGTACAGCACCTGCCTGGCAAGCACAAGGCGCTGAGTTTGATTCTCGGTACAACAACATTAGACAAGGCTGTCAGAATCACTGTCTACCTCACTCACTATGCTCTTGGCATAATGACCTTGCAGTAGTTTGCTCATTCTTACAAGTTTGTCCTACTAAGGATTCTCTTCCCATTGCTCCTCTGTGTGGCCACCTCACTCAAGTCTCAGGTTAAGTATCACTGACTCAGAATGCTTGGCCACCCATGCTGATGGTGCTCCCAGCTGCCCTCTATCCCACTCCCCCTTGCTATGCTCTGCAGAGCACATGTTGTATATGAATGCTCAATTTATTTATTTGTTTCAGTAATATCTCTCCCCTCAAGTCACTGTTATTACATTTTATTTTATTTTATTTTATTTTATTGTTATTAAATTGTAGTCCTATAAAGATCTCATAATTGCCTAACCTGGTTACCCCTTCATCTTCAATGAACCCTAAATATCTAGTAATTATTATGGATTTGTTGAATATTGAATAAATAAAAGAAAAATTCTACCAAGATCAAGGTAGAATTATTGAAAACCAGCCTTGAGTCCAATAAACCATGACTGAGTGTAGTTTTAGTAACACTGTCTTGCTTCCTTGGACACAGTAATAGACCAGAAAGACCTCCAAGGGCTGGTTTTGGAGGCATCTATTAAAGAGCTTCCTCCTTTTTTTTTTTTTTTTTCCCGGTACCAGGAATCGAACTTACGACCTTGCACTTGCCAGGCAGGCGCTGTGCCGCTGAGCTAAATCCCCAGCTCCTAAAGAGCTTCCTCTCAAAAGCATCTTCCATCTTACAGATTTTAAGTTAACTGGACTGTGCTTAATATAAACCCACTAAAATTTAAACTCTGAATGCTGGCATCTTGTATCACAGCAATCCCTCAGCACTTACCACTGCTTGGAAAGTATTAACAGAAACATAGAGCATGACATTTTTTAAATATGTGTTAACTATTTGTTAAATAAATGAAAGGAGAAGAATAGAATGGAAAAATAGGTCTCATCAAAATTTAAAGAGATGCTGACAATGTTCCCTGCATTACTTTTTTAAGCTTCAGGGTGCGTGCCATGTGGAATAGAATAGATGCAACACAAGAAATGCACATGGCACTGCCTAAACTGCTACTGTACGAATGGTGCTTTGCTAAGGTTCACTGTGTACTGTTGAAATCTGGCTCTTAAACTAAAATCCAAGTGGATTTCATTGAGGGGCACTTACAGAGTAAATTTTGGGGAGATGAGATTCTGAAAGTGAAGGAAACTTACAAGTTATGTATGTTACAAACCTGTAACATTTCTGTGTAACTTTACTATTCTCTGTCAGATCCTGGCAAAGCTCTGTGACATTTTACACACTGATTCCTTGGGAGAAGTTCTACAGTGGCTGCTTCATGCAAGTACAAAAGGTGAGGTTAAGATAAACATTTGTAGGTACTGAACTCATGTTGTCAGAAATTGGGAATCTGCCAAAATCCTTAGATTTGTAAAGATAATGTTGCAAAATTACTTCCTTACGTTTCTATATCAGAATCATGTAGTTTTACATATCCAACCATATGCATTCTGGTCATGCAAAGAATTCAAAATGCAGTATGCCTCAAACTGAACTCACTGGAATGATACAAACTACTAGTGTCCAGAAGAGGCTAGAACTGGTTTATGCTTCTCCTCCTGACTCCACACAGCCAGGCTCCTCCCTGAGCACATCCTCTGGCCTTCCCTGAACCCTAAACACAGAGCCCATTCTTTCCCTTTGGATGGCAGTGACATAGCCCTCCTTGTTTCAGATTCTAAACTCTGCCAACTACCACCGAAACCATCAACTCAGTCATCTCTCCACCTCCTTTGGGCTCCTCTAACCTGCTCCATGGATATACTTGTCATTCCCAAGAAGGACATCTACAAGTGACATACATACAGTCAACCTAGCTGGTCATCACACACTACACTTCCAATACAGTACCAAGTGACACTGGGAATGCTGGTCTGGGACCCCTCTTTGAAAATCAATCTCAGAACCAGTGTGTTAGGGACAGACTAATGTTTTAAACTGGTGACCCTTTTAGCAACAACATCTTACCCCAGGAACTCAAGATTGCTTGGCAAGCAACTGACAAGTACTGAACTTGGGGGCAATGGATCTTTATTCTTTTTAGTTATTTTTTCTTTCTTTTTAAAGCATGTAACAATTAATAAATTACACAGGTAATGAATGCTTACTGTTGAGAGAAAACAAGTGAATCAGAAAAAAAAAAAAAAGAACAGAATAATCAATAAAATTACCACAGACATCATGCCAGTGAATATTTTAATGTATATATTTCTAGATATGCTTGAAACTATTTTTATCTATCAGTCTGTACTTTAATGGGGACATATCTTACCTATTTTTGTGCAGCTACCTTTATGTTGAATAAGGAATCTTTATACTTTCAGCAGCAGCATGTAGGGCTGGCTTTTGTTCTTCGTATTTTAAAGTGATTCCACTGCCCTTCAGGGTTGAGCATCTCTGTGATTTACCTACCCAGGGCACCTACAGCATCTCAGCAGCAGAAATCAACTCTTGCACAGAAACGTGTCCTCACCTCGAGGCATCTACTAGAGAACATATTGCCAGCCTTTTACATGGGGGCTTTCTGAGTAACAGAACCAATCCTACGTTTCCAGCCAATGAGATAAGGCCAATTTGCCTCTCCCCAACCTTTCTTTCAATCAGAGAAACAGTGGGTGTCAGCGTTGGTTCACTCGGAGCTGGCTGAGATAAACTTAACTCGCTGCAGAAGGAACCGGGCAGTGGAACCTACACCGAAGGCGGGGAAGCCACCCATAGCTAAATGCCCTCCTGTCAACTCACCTGCAAGCCCACCTGCAGAATCAGAAGCACTGGCATCAGTGAGGGAGCCAGCCCGGTAATCACAAGGCTACTTGGAGAACCTGTAGTACATAATCTACCAAAATGCTAAACATGCTAAGGTTTTAAGTGTCTATTCAGTAAATGCTTGCAATGCTTTCTTTCATTTTCATAAATGTAATATGAGCATGGTCTCACTTTCACTGTTCAGAACATTTTGGAAAGGGTGATGTCTTCTTTGTCCAATAACTTTTCTTTTGAGGAAAAGCCCCTTTCCCCTAAGGACAAAGCAAGAAAAAGTGCTTATAAATCTAAAAAAACCAGGAATTTTTAAAAACTAAAAATAGAAGCTATAAAGAAACTGAGACTGTGGTGTTATTCTTGTGAATATTTTGCATACTCTATTAAATATATATTACACAGATATCACTTTTTTAGTAGAATAGTGAAGATAAAAAAAAAATGCTTCACTTAAATTTCTCTAGCATAGTTCTGAGGTTTCCAGAGAGGAAAAATAACTGCTAAGGGAATTGGAGATTATTTCAGAAGAAATATTCCTTAAGCCATGTAATTCCAATAGCAGAAGAAACATACATATTTGTTATTCTATCACGTGGGAAGAATGCTAGGAGAGAAAAATCTCCTTGCTTTAAAATTAAAAGTTGGGTAAAAGACAAAATTAATATTTAAAAAACACAGTACATCACTTTAAAGAGTATTATGATGGATAATTTTATTTGGTTGTCTCTACCATTTCCATAAAATCAGAAACTAGGAGATAGGAAAGGTCAGCCTCTTTCCCTTAGGGATTGGCATATGATTACTCAAAGTAAGAAGAATCCCTCAATGGAAGCAAATTTAGTTGGGTTTGCATGTTAAAAATAAAGAATTAGGATAGCATATTTAAGATAGATATACACAGAATTTGTGGATAGCATACTTTAATTTGTGCCTGTAAATTTATTTATTTTTTCTTTCTCCAACTGATTTAGAGTGCCAAGTCAAGGATCAGAAGGAAATAAGGAATTGCCAAAAGGTTAAGTACAGTTTGTGATAATTACTGAGTAGTGGCATAGACTTTAAGAATCTGTGCTTTTAGAAGAAAAACAAAAAGTGATTTCTAACTCAATTCTTAAGGGACAGCATTTGCTGAATTTCTCATAGACATAACTTTGGCATAAATTCACCTTCCTTTTGAAAGACAAGGCCTCTTGTGAGACAGACACTCTGAGAAGCAGGACAGCAGGAACTATAGGTACAGTCAAGCCAACTCAATGAAACGAAGCCATGCATTGGCCTAGAAGCAGACAATGATCCCAGAGTTTTTGTTAGCTAAACAATTCACTGGAAACAAAGTTGGCCAGAGAAAACAGTAAATTACATCAGCCACAGTGAGTTCCCTAAGGGATAGATAAAATATAATAGAAAGGAGCCGTTTTATTGCCTCACCAAAGGCTGGTTACCAGCCTAATGTGTGGGCCAGAAAGAATCAATGACAGAAGAAAGTCCTACATTGGCCTAGAATGGCCTAAGGACGCAGTCATGTAAATTCAGAAGCTTCTAGCTTTAAAACAAGTTAAAAATAATGATGGAGAGCAGCCTCTGACCACACTCCAGCTTGTTGTTTCTCCAAATTCTCTTTATACCAAGAATGACACAGTAATCAGTCAGAGTTCCTTAAGTCCACTCTGGGCCCCATCTGTTTGCGCTGGGGTTAACCATACCCAAAAGTCCCTCTAGATGCTGACCAGCACTTCTACACAGTTTAGAGATGAGAGAGCACCCACAGCCTTGCCGGGACTCTGAGGATAGTCTACTGATCTGGTTACTCCTACAAACTTCTCGCCTCAGAGTCTAAAACCATGACAGTGGTGGTTTCTAGTCAACCTTGCCGATCTGTGGCCCCATGCATATTTTACCCTCTCTAGATGCCTAGAAGATTTTTGTGTAAGAATCCTTCAAATCATGCCTTTTTCTCTCCATTAATACCATATTCAGCACCTTCCCAAATTCACATTCCTGATGGGGGCAACTATTTTTGGTTTTGGAAAGTCTTAAGAGTACAATTAATTTGTTTTACCTTCCTTTTTGTCCTTCATTTTGTCGGTCAGGACCACAGATTTTTCTCTTTTCCCCCAACACCATCCTTGTTCATCCTCTTTACTCTTTGCCAAAAACCATTCCTATCCACCCTGTCTTCTTCTAAGAGCGAAACGATGTATTCTGCATGATTTAGAACAAGTAAAGATGAAGATGAGCAAGTGATAAGAAATTAAGATGAGAATAGATTCTTTAACGAATTTGGGGTGTTTCTGATTCACCTAAGCTTCATATATTTTTAAAATATCATTTGCTATAAAACAAAGCAGAAGCTGCCCTCAGTGTTTCAACTGTGGTCTCACTTAGATTTCCTTCTATTTCAGGGGCTGAGCAGAAGCCTCCACTGTTTATAAGAAGCACCAAGATGAAAATACCTGTTACAGAGTACTTCAGCAAACCGAAGTCTCCTCTCAGGCCTGATGCTTGGGACCTCAGATCCACGAAGCCAATGTCAGCAAGGAGTGTGCAACATGGACTTAACCTCTGTCCTCGAAGTGTGTCTCACCCTTTAACACACTGAAGGTAGAAACTGGAGGCTGTCCAGCTCTGCCACACACGAGCTGCACACTGCTACTACATCAAATCGTTTTTTAAAAGATTTGAGTGATCCTCATTATCGTGGCACATAAAAATCTCAAAACACCCATATATAACCTACAAATAAATGTTAATGGAGATAATACTTCTATTTGTAGTTAATGTTACTACATGTAAAGGAGAATGTTTATTTAAACAGTTTCCAGTCTTGCACTATTAGTATTAGTACCTAAGCATAGAGGCCATGATATCAAAAACGAATCATCCATAATCAGAATGAAGCAGCAGGAACAGAAAGAGAGAAGCAGGGAACACAGCCTGAGAAGTTTAACTTGCAATCAGTAGTGCTTACATGTTGTTGCACTGCCATAAAAAAATGCTTCTCCTTCCAAAAAAAGAAAAGATAAAAATCATCCCTACATCACGATCTAGAAAGTAGCGGGTTCTGCTCAGTGCTATAAAGGTTGATATTAATAGCTTTGCTAATATGAATTGTTTCCTGTTTTTAAAATTAACTCCTCTTTGGCCATAGCTGCTGTTGTTATGTGAAGCTGGATTCCATCTACCAATCAATCAGTATTTTATTTAGAATGCATTGATATTCAAAAGAAAGAGCAAAATTCATGCATTTGTATATATGTGTTCATCTATGTGCACATTATCTTAGTAACATTTACATCATATTTATTATGTGACAACAATCCTTAGAAACATTTTAGAATAACAATTTTCAAAATAACTACTTGTGATAGCTACTATCATTCTTCTCATTTTAAGAATAAGACAACAGAGGCAGAGCTCTACTCATTGGCATGGAACAAGTGGTAGCAAATGCCATCAGGGTCTATTTCTCACAAGTCCAAGCATGTGCTCATCACTGGTCACTGACTGCTGTCTTTGCTTGGTGATGAGAAGCCAGGAGCCTTCCATCCCCTAGCTTAACCAACGGATAGCGCTTGTCCTGTATCCAGCTGGCAAAGGGGGAAACTGAGCAGGGGGAAATATTAGCTCCTACTGTTTTGTTTTATTTTTTTATAACAAATCTTCAATTTATTTGAAGCAATTCAGTTTCAAAAACTTGAAGTTACAGCAGTTGCAGAAGAAACAGGGACTAAACAGAAACAATAAAAGAATGATTGGGAGTACTGCATTTTTAAAACTTGTTTTTTAACACTGTCATGGCTTTATTCAAAACACAATTGCAAGAAAGTATTAACTTCAAAGTTTTTAAGGAGAGGTTCCTGAGGAATTTAACACGTTATATACATATTGCCATACAAAGAGCATTAAAATAGGATACAGGGGCTGGGGATTTAGCTCAGTGGCAGAAGCGCCTGCCTGGCAAGTGCAAGGTTGTGAGTTCAGTTCCCGGTACCAGAGAAAAACCAGAAAAAAAAAAAAATAGGATACAAAACTTCTACAAAATATAACCCACCCTTACTTATTTGCATGAAAATACCACCCACAAAGGTGCATAAGTCTTAAAAGTTATCTGGAGACTCTAAGTGTTGTTGTCAAACCAAAGAACTCTAATTATGACTGCACAATAAAATGACTAATAAGAAAGTCAATATATAGATTTAATTTTAGAAATAAGTATTTTGGGTTTTTTTTGTTTGTTTTTGTTTTTGTTTTTCTCCGGTACCGGGAACCAAACTCACGACCTTGCGCTTGCCAGGCAGGCACTTTTGCCACTGAGCTAAATCCCCAGCCCCAAGTATTTTGTACTTATTGATGGCACAGTATGCAATGAGAACGCTGAGACATTCCAACGGTGAAATTAGGAGAAAAATTTTAGTTTTCTGGAGATTCTAGGCCCTCACTAAATTTATCTCCAGTGTTTTCAGCCAGTTTGCAATGTTTTTAGTTTCTCCACAAATAACTTCATAATTTTTACTTTAGAATTCCAAGTCCTCCATTTTGAACTAAAAAAGCAGCAGCAATACCACCCTGGTTTAAATGTTTCCCAGTAGAGAAGCATAACTTCAATTTGTTGACACTTTTTAAAAATTTACAAATATTCAAAGAGAAAAACTTTCAGATGGCCAAGATGAAAAAAGCACAACTGCCTTGTACATGAAGCCACTTTGACAAAAAGGGAGACGGGCTTGTCTCCTCGTTCAGCTCTGCTTAGCAGCCAGATACAATGCACGTGCTCACACTTCTCTCAGAGGCTGTTCTACTTGTAATGAGCATCAGCTTGAAAATCAATCTTAAAGCCAATTTAGTTTCAAATATTTTTCCAACTACCTACCATATTCCAATAATGTTATATCTGGTAATGTGTTAAAACTATAGGAAGGATAATTAAAGTTCTACCCAGAAAAACTATAAATACTTCGCAGAGTTAGTGTCCATGTCCTGGGGGAAGTCAATTCAAATTTAATTATCAACAGGCAACTGTCCAGGCTTTTGAGAACCAGTCATGCTACACGCAAAAGCCTCCCGGTCCCCTCCTTTCTCCGTCCTCCCAACAATGGTCTCCCGTGTCATCAGCTGAAAAGCATTTAAAAATGCTTTTAAAAATGCAGAACATGGTGAATAAAACTGTTTCAACAACATTCAGATCTGAAAAAATTCTCCATTTCTTCCACTTCACTTATTAAAACCCAGCCAGGTCTGAAAAGGTGGCTGAGGTACGAGACTAAAGGTTTTCTGGGACTCTACAAGGCATCCAACTTTCTTGTGGGAGAGCGTGGGCAAGGGGAGAGGAGCACAGAAGCTGCCAAGAAGGACACGCTCCTGACACAGAACAAACAACCGCAGGCGTCTCGGTGGAAAGCTCACTGTGTGCCTCTGGACTTAGAATAAGCAATCTTTCCTTCAAAACTAAAATCTTATCCATCATCATAAAATCCATAAACTAAATTAATCACTGAGTAGCACCCCCCAAAATCCACGAAATACATCACTGAGCAGGACCTGCACTGTCCTGTATCCGTTTTCCAACTGGACTCTGTAACAAGCACCCAATACCCTTTGCCAAAAGTCACTGCCTTCAAAGTAAAGATCTTTGAATCATTTCTAAAGAAATAATCAACTTATCATTCAAAAGACTAATGTCATCTCATACTGCTGACTGTAATTTCAGTTAATTTATCAATAACTTTAAAACCTTATGACTGAAATATAACAGTGATCTTATTTAATCATGGCTACAAATGACTAATACAGTGTATTAGTCATTTGTATTAGAAAAATTAAGATTCTAAATAAATTGCTAGAGAATTTCACAATGGTTGGAGGGGGTCAATGAAAATTTTTCTCTATATACAATCTGATCGTTAACAGACCAGTAAATCTTATTTGGAATGATAAGGCAAAAATAGTAAAACTATACCTTTCCCATAAAAAGTTACACATTATCTTTTGCAGGGAACAGCTATCATGTATGAGGAAACAAAGATGTGATCACCCTATTGCACACCCCGGAGTGTTATGGAGAGTGGTCTCCGCGTGGTCACCGAGTGATCTAGTCGTCTTCTTCCTCCCCGTCACCATCAGCATCCCATTTCCTGTTCTCCCCCTGGACACCTTCTCCTTCCTCTTCCTCCTCTTCTTCTTCAACATAGTCATC